TGGCCCTGGCCACTTAGCCTGACCAAGGCATGTCTTGTCACCCCTGAAGGCAGATGGAAACTGAAGCGCAGGGCCAGACTCTGCTTAGAGGCCAGGACAGCAACTGAGTGACCTGGCCACAGTAGCCCTTTAGGTCCCAGAGGCTGAATGGCCCTCAGCCTGAGTGCTCTGCCCCTGGGTGTCAGCCCTCAGAGACCTCAGCTCCCCAGGAAGTCAAGAAGGCAACCCCACCACAGCCAGACCTTGGCTACACATCCCTGCTGTGTAGACAGCCACTGGGACAGGTTCATAAACCACGAAAAATCCCCCTTTTCCTTCACCTCCAAGGAGTTTAATCTCTCCTAATCAATTTAGCAGACTTGCTTGGTTGTAAACGGTAATGATTTGCATTTTTTGAGCCTTTTTATCCCTCCTTAAGAAAAAAAATGCCTCCTCTCTGCATTCTGGAAGGCCTGTGAATTGCTTGTTAGCGCTCACCCTGGCGCCTATCCAGCCATGGTATCAGCCGCCTTCACCTGCACTGATTTCAGCGCGAGTAGGGGATGTGGCGCATGGGACGCCTGCAGCTGACCCACCATGGTCCTGACATGCGGTCTGGCCCTTGGGGTCTGGCTGTGCTCGCCTGAGCCCTCCTTCCTATATGCACCCCAGAGCTCCCCGAGTGGTCTCTGCAGCTCCGTTGCTCCCGCCTTCTGCATCCAATTTTCCTTGTTGTATTTTTCATAAGCTCAAGGCTCAGAAGCCCGTCCTCCTCCCTTGTGTGTTCAGCAGGAAGCAGATTTCTGAAGTGGGCTGGCTTTGGGACTTGAGCTGCCACTTTGGGGGGTTGGGGGGTGGGAGGGTGTCCTGAGTGTGCTTCCAACTTTTGTACCCCTTTTCTCATGGGTGATAGAAGAGGCTTAGCTGGGAGGCCATCCTGGGTACACTGTCCATCCTTGTTGCAGTCCAGGCAAGCCCTTCAGGCCTGCCAGGATCCCATATCTGCCTTGGACCAGCTAGAACCTTTCAGAATCAGCAGAGGGAGCGGCCCCCTCTTGGTCTGTGGAGTACCCAGCTTTTCTGGGTGAATCTAGACCGCACCCCAGTGCACCCCCAACTTCATAGAAGGGGAAACAGAGGTCTTGGATTTGCCAAACACACTCCCTGGCTTCCTCTGCTTCCCCTTGCTAGGGCAGGGCTAGGGGGGAGGCCTGCCTGGACCCTTGGGGAAGGTGGAAGAAGAGGCTCGGGGGCAGTGTGGGCTTTTGGCCCCCTAGTTGCCTGCCATCCTCTTCCCGGAGCTGTCACTTTCCCTGCCAGCCTCACCCAGAGCAGAAAAGGAGCCATGACCCCACTCCTGCCCTCAAGCCCACATCCCCATCTTGAGGGGGGACATCCCACTGGGTGGCTGCGGGGTGCCATGTTAACATGGAGGCCGCTGAGAGACAGAGCCATTCAGGGAAGATGGAGGCTTCCTCAGAAAGGGGGACGCAGAAAAGGGAAGAAAAGGAGCTTTTGATGCACATCATGTCTGCAGGATTGAGTATGACTAATTAATAGATTTTATTCTTAGTAATCTCTTAAGCATTCCATACGTTGGGCTCCACGCCTGAGCTGAGCGAACAAGAGGGCTCATTCGCAAAATGCAAATGACACGCGGCCCTGCTGCTTTCTCTCCTTCTTTGCGTCTCCTTTCCTTTCCTTTTTTTTTTTTTAAAGAGGAAATTTAAAGGAAAATTGCCATGTAATAGAAAAGAGATTCCAATCGCTACATCTAATTACCACGAAGGGTAAACCATTTAACCAAAGAAGTGTCCTGGGCTTTTTTTTTTTTTTTTTTTTAACTTTCAACCTGCCTTAAATGCCACAAAGTACACTCACCAGCACTGAGGCCGGTGAGGTTGTGCTGGCTGGTTAGTGGGTGCAGGTCAGGCTGGCAACGGACCTCCCATGCTTGCCACACAGACAGGAGGTTTTAATCGGCTGGGGAAGAGGGGAGTCACTACAGGCCTGGTGGCCTCATGTACTTCGGAGGAGCCTGGGAAGCCATCATAGAGGAGCTGGACCAGGAAGGGACTGGGTTTCAGGAGGGATCTGGTTTCAGGCCCTCTCTCTAGTATGGGGGTCCATGACAAAGCAGATATTTGGGGGCTTGCTTTCAGAAAGGACACTGGGAAGATGTTGAGATGCCAAGGGGCAGAAAAGGGAGCTGGGTGCTGGTGGTTCACACCAATAATCCTAGCTACTCAGGAGGGAGAGATCAGGAGGATCACAGTTTGAAGCCAGACCAGGCAAATAGTTCACAAGACCCTATCTCAAAAGAAACCTTCACAAAAAAGGGCTGGTGGAGTGACTCAAGGTGTAGACCCTAAGTTCAAACCCCAGCACCTAAAAAAGAAAAAAAAAGATGAAAAGGGCACTGAAGTGGGGCCCAGGGTCCTGGATGGGCTGCATGTCCACTTTTCACCAGTGGTTAGAGCTCTCAGAGGGGCGATGCCTGTGGGGAGTCAGGTAGGGTCTGGGCTTTGAGCCCTGTTAGTGCAAGAGCTGGGACAGGAGACAGATCTGGTCCTTAGGCCCAGCGCTATGCCTGGGCAGTTGGCAGGTCTCTTGTGGACCTGAGGCTCTCTGGGTGCCAGGGAAGGCCACTCTCCAGCACTTGACCCTGGAGCTCTTGCTCCTTCCAAGCAGGGCCTTCCGGGCAGCTACAGGGTCCAGGCCACCTGCTATCCCTAGATGTCTTCCTGGCCTAAGGGATGAGATGACATTTCCTGAGACCAAGGAGGAGAAAGAGGGTCCAGGTGAACAAGGGGACAGAGCATGCCAGCAGTGCCACATTGCAGATGCAGGGGAGCAACATAGGGGGACAACTTTCCTGGGACCCTGGAAAGGCCAGAGGGGGGCCCTTAAGAATCGGGCTGCCAATTTAGAAACAGCAGAGACCTGGACTCTGTCTTTCTGGCTGACGAAACGTACCTCACGTACCTTCTCCCCCACCATCTCCTTGGTGGGATCTCCTGTCTTCCTGAGCTACCAAGAGTGGGAGAGGGGAGGTGCTGATATTTATACAGACCTGAAATTAAGGCTTGGGACATTTCTCTCCTGATCTTAGTGTATGAGAGGATAATTCAGGCAGGAAAAGGAAAAAAGGTTTTGTTTGGAACGAACTGTGTCCATACCCCTTGGCTGTTCCCTGGGGCTGAGGGGTTGGGGTCCCAGTTTGGCGGGATGACCCCTTGGGCCTGTGCCTCATTCCACTTCTCTGGGGCAACTGCTGGGCCCATTTCCTTCAACCCCAGCTTTTCACGGAGGGGTCAGTTGGCTCTTTTGACATCTAGCAAGTGGACGGTGCCTGGGCATATTGCGGCAGCCTGTGACCACTGCCCAGTCTCTTCTTCTTGTCTTTGCTTTGGTTGAAGTGACAGAGGCCTTTCAAAAATGCCACTGCCAGGAGCCTGACCCCTTCTCATCCTCCTGCCCTCAGACCAATGTCTCTTCTTTGATGATGCTTTTTGCCTGTGCGGGGCAAGCGGCATAGTGACAGATGGTGACCTGAGCTTGCTGAGTACAGGACGCAGCAGACACCAGAATCCCACACACAGCTCTTCCCTCCTTTCCACATCACTGTCGTTATTTCATCGTTTTAATCTCATGGCTCGCCACACCACACTGTCAGTTGATAAATGATGGTGACATTGATTCCAGAGGGAGGAAATAAAATCTCAACTTGTCCCGGGGCCCTGGTCAGGTACCCTTTTGAAGGCTGGCATTTTTACAAAGAGATCTGGTCTCTCCCCCAGCAGAGCAGAGCCCAGGTGTGGGCACAGCTGAGTTTTCTACACTGGTGTGTGTGTGTGTGTGTGTGTGTGTGTGTGTGTGAGAGAGAGAGAGAGAGAGAGAGAGAGAGAGAGAGAGAGAGAGAGATGTCTGCCAGGGATTTCATGAATAATTTCTATATTTTTCTGGGCTTTGTTTGAGCAGCTATGGAAACCAGTAGTTCTAACTGGCAGGTATTTACATTCCTGCACTAATGACCTGAACCAGGAGGAAGCATATAGTAACTTATGGAGGTGATTGTATCTATGGGGGGGGGGTGGGATAAGGACACCAGCCATCAAAGAATGCTTTTCTCTGTATCAGAAAGGACACTGGCCCAGTTCTGGCCAAGCTGAGAACAGAAAGCAACTTGGCCAGTCCCTCCAGGCCTCCTGCCACACACACATGCCTCTGCCTCTGGGAGCAGCCATACCCTAGCCATACCCACCACCCAGACTGAGGCTCCTCCCTCCACCTCACTCCTACCCCTAACACATGGTCTACTTACTCAATGATTTCTAGGAGAAAGAAACATTTCTGCAATTCTATTGTCTCTGGAAATAGTAAGAACCATCCCAGGAAGTACTGTGAGGACAGCATGTGCAGCTCTACCTGCCCAGCCGTGCTGAGAGACATGGCCACACAGATAGGCAGACAGACAGATGCGCCTCCACGTGGTAGGGAACGCTTCCATCCGGGCTCCTGTGGAGTTTGGTGCATGGAACTGAAGAGCGTTCAGCAGAGGGGAAAAAAAGAGATGGATTATTTTTTTTAATCGACTACATTATTGTTCTAAGAATGCAGTGAAAGACGCCCTATTTCTGCAAGTCTGTAAGGGGAACAGCCTGGGTAGAACCAGGGAAGAGATTTCGGGACAACGTCTCCCAAGCAAAAGATCTTTTCTGTCTCCGGCTCCTTTGTGAGGAGCCCGAAAACCTTCCATCAACGCTGCCTCCAGAAGCAGCCAGCCGTGGCATCGCTACTGGGCTTCACGCCTCACCTGACGGCCGGCCTTGAACAGAGCATGAGTGCACACAGACGCCGCACAGGTAGTCTCTCTCCAGTTCAGGAAAAAATCCCAGCCCAGCCCTTCCTGCGCTAATGTTCAGTCCTTCCCTCCCCAACTGGCATGATTCGGTATAGATTATTCCAACAGCGCCGAATCCCCCTCCTGCCTTCTACTCGTTAAAAACATTTCTTTTTTTCCACCGTTGCGTTCTACAAAATTGTCAGCCCTCCCCAAATTTTGCTTTCCACTGGCGAAGTCCTCGTGGAATTTCTCTTCCTTGCTGTCTCGGGTTGCAACGGGCTGGGCAAAGCCGAGTGGCCACACCAGGATGGCCAGCTGGGGCTGGGGCTGGCAGCTGGTATCATGTGTAGGAGTAGTCTATGTCGGGGATGCCACCGCCCCGGTAGCCCCGCGTGGTGCCGTAGCCGATGGTGTGTGTGCCCTTGCAGAGGCTGTCACCGTTGGAGGGGAAGATGGTGTGTACCACATACTCTTCTTTGGCCCGGTATGGGTTGATGGGCAGCATCTGTAACCCAGGGCCTCGGATTTCTAGGATGGAGTTATCCTTCTTGGTCCCTGACTCCATATAGTCATCCTTTTTCCTACTGCCCCTGTTGTAGGCCCTCTCCCGGGTCAGCAGCTCGCCAGCCCGGTGCACGTACCAGCAGGTGGCCCCTAGGACCAGGAAGAGGAAGACAAGAGCCACAGCACCACCGATGATGCCAGCCAGGGGCAGGCCCGCCATGGGGCTGGCATTCTGCTCCTGGTTGAGCGTGGTGGTGGGCCCGTAGCTGTCAGCTGTCTCTGCCTTGGCGCACACAGGTGTTTCGTCAGCCACATAGGTGTTGCCGGTCTCCATGGTGACCATGCAGATGATGTAGGTGGACTTGGGCTCCAGGGCCGTCAGCAAGTATTCCGTCTTGTCTCCCTGCACCAAGGTCTCTGTGATGGAGCCCACAGCCGGGCTGTGTCCCAGGCGCAGCCAACTGAGTCGGAAGGAGGAGGCAGGGAGCATGGCCTTCCATGTGATGCGGATGGAGTCTGCTGTCAGAGGCTTCACCTGGATGACCAGGGTCTTGGCACCATCACCCGTGGCCATGGGGTAGTCGATGTTAGAGTCGGGGAGGCGCAGCCCTGGCCTCTTGGCCTTGAGGGTGAACAGTGAGCCCTGGGGTGTGGTAGCAGAAGCGTGGTTGCTGGCGGTGGTCTTGGCGGCTGCTGAGTTGGCAATACCTCCCTGTGACCCTGTTTCAAAGCACTCATCCATCTCGCTGGTGATGTCTTTGATAGCCATGCCCCGGACCTTCTCGGGGCCCTGGCACATGAGGCCCCGCACATTGACCACAGCTGCCCGTGCCTTCACCCAGTCCCGCAGCCACATGAGGTTGCAGCCACAGAACCAGGGGTTGTTTCTGAGCAGCAGCTGTGCCAGGTTCCCCAGATCATCGAACAGGCCACGGGGCAGCGTGGTGAGGTTGTTGTTGGACAGATCCAACCGCTCCAGCTCACGCATCTTGGCCAGCGTGTTGTAGGGGACATGACTGATAGCATTGTCCTGCAGGTAGAGCTTTTGCAGGTGGGCACTGGGCAGATTGAGGGGCGGGGCAGCCAGTGAGTTGCGCACCAGCGAGAGCTCTGTGAGGTTCTGCAGGCGGCTGAAGGTGTCATCAGCGATGCGCTGGTTGGCCAGCAGGTTGCCATCCAGTACCAGGCGCCGCAGGCTGTTGAGGCCCTTGAAGGCGTGCAGCGGGATGGTGGAGATGCGGTTGTCATCCAGCCGCAACTCCTCCAGTGTGTGGGGCAGCCCCGACGGGATGCTGCTCAGGTGGTTCCGACTCAGGAAGAGCAGCTTGAGTTGCTTGCTGTCAGCAAAGGCGTCCTCCTCGATGCTCACGGTGGACACCGAGTTGTCGTCCAGGTGTAGCTTCTCCAGCAGCGGGATGCGGGCCAGCGAGTCCCTGGCAATGGTGCGTACATTGTTGTCTTGCAAGTGTAGCTCCCGCAGGGAACGGGGCAGGTTAACAGGGAACTCGTCCAGGTCATTCTCGTACAGGTAGATGACCTGCACATTGACCTTGGTCTTGAGGTCCTGGGGGATGCCAGCGTTGTTGATCTGGTTGTTCTGAAGGTAGAGGGTGGTGGCGTCATCAGGGATGTCCGAGGGGATGGAGGTAAGACCCCGGTCATTGCAGTAGATGAAGCCGTTGTCACAGCGGCACACCGAGGGGCAGGTGGTGCTATCAATGACCTCTGTCAGGAAGGCAATGAGCCCATAGCAGAGAAACAGCCAGTCCCGCAGGTCCATGGTGGCTGTGGTCATCACGACGGTGGCCGTGACTGTGGTGGTGGGTGTGGTGGTAGCAGTGGCAGTGGGGTGTGCCACCACCATGGTGGATGGCTAGGGGAGCCCGGCCCCCCTGACCCGGAGCCTCAACACCTGCAAGGAGCACAAGACAGGTGGGTGAGGGCAAGACGGAGATGGCACCCAGAAGGGAGTCATGCACCCATCTGTCTGCAACCAAGGGGTCACCACAGCCAAGGCCAGGGTGCGAGTGCAGCCTTTTTTTTTTTTTTTCTTTTTTCTTTTTTCAGGGAAGTACTGGAGTTTGAACTCAGGGCCTCCTGGTTGCCAGGCAGGTGCTAGTTATTTTTCAGTTAGGGTCTTGAGTTTTGCCTGGGGCTGGCCTGTACTGCCATCCTCCTATGTCTGCCTCCCAAGTAGCTGGAAGGACAGAGCATGTCCAGATGGTTTGTTGAGTTGAGGTCTCTCTAACATTTTTGTCCAGACTGGCCTTGAACTTTGATCCTCCCAACCTCCACCCCCTGAGTAGCTGGGGGTGGCATGGGCCACTGGGCCCAGCATAGAGGGGCCTGCTTCATGTCAAGCTTAAGTAAAGTGAGCTGTCCAATTAGGGTGCCACTCAGGGACCTCTAGCTAACATCAAATCTCATCAGGAGCAGAGCACCCCACTCTACTCCTGGGGTAGCCAGTCACCTAGGGGCATTTAGCATGCCTGGTGGCAGTTTGGGCAGCTTCCTTCAAGATTTCAACCTAAACCAGGCATTACACATACGGGAAAGGCACTGGTCAGTGTCGGTGGGATGGACTTAGGCATATTTCTCGCTGGAATGGGGAACGTGCCTTGCTTTGTGGCACGCACCCAGAGTCTGAAGGGAAAGCTTGTGGTCATTCCAGAAGGCCTGTGAGGGCCAAAGGGAACATGGCTAGAACCTGCAGAAAAGCAGCTGCCAGAGCTCAGGCTCACTGTGTGACTGTCACCATCTCCTGTTGGTCACTCCTACATTTCACGTACAGGAGAAGGAGGCGTCAACAGAGCCGCTTCCACCTGTGTTTATGGAAATTGCTTTTCAACCAGAGGCATCTTCCCCAGCTTGCTGTTCTGTGTTGTGTGGGAATCTGTTCCACACCTTGCCCTTTCCAAATCACGAAACTTTTAGCCATTCCAGAAAAGAAAGAAACATATATGTATATACTTATCAGCTTTCTTGCATTTAAAAAAAGAGACAAATGAAGGAAGGAGTTGTTGCCTGTGCTCTGATGGGATTGTCTGCAAGGTGTAATTTCAGGTTTCATGAATGGAAAAATTGCAGTGTAGATTTTTCTCATGTTATTTTACTGTTTACAGTGTTAAAAAAATCAATTAAAGAAAAATCATCTTTCAGTCTCAGTAGAGAAGGCATCTTCACATAGTTGACAAAACCCTGCTGTAAAACTTGGGGGTCACCAAGGCTTTCAGTATCGGACATGATGGCCTCTCGGACCTTTTAAAAAATTTTTTTTGCGGTACTGGGGCTTGAACTCAGGGCCTGCACGTTAGGCCACTCCACCAGCCCTTTTTTTATGATGTTTTTTTTGACATAGGGTCTCACAAATTATTTGCCCGGGCTGGCTTTGAACCATGATCTTTCTGATCTCTGCCTCCTGAGTAACTAGGATTATAGGCGTGAACCACTGGGACCCAGCTGCCTCTCAGATCTGAACTGAGGCCCCAGCCTGGGAGGTCAGCCCTGGAGTGTGACACAGAACTGGTTTCCATTGAATGAGCCAGTGGGGACCCTGCTCATTCCATTCATTCCACTGAATGAGCATGTGGATGGATGCCCTGGGGACTGAGGGTCTCCATTTCTCAACTGTGCCAACCTCTCTCTTCTCTGTTCCTCTTCATTCCTGGACTATTCTTCTCCATCCAGCAAACTCCTCCTCACCCACAGGACCTAGTTCAAATGTCCCTTTAGGTCTTCCAGATGGAGCTTCCTCTACTCTGTCTATCCACCACTCATTCATGTATCAGTTTGTCATCAGTCTGTCCATCCACTTACCCACACATCTATCTACCCACCCATCTTCCTCCCATCATCCATCCATCCATCCCCATCATCCATTCATTCACCCATCTTCCATCCATCCATCTACCCATCCACCCATCTTCTACCCATTGTCCATCCATCCACTCTCTGTTTATCCATCTATCGATCCTCCACCCATCCATTCATCCATCACTAATCTACCTACCCACCTATCCATCCATGCATGTCTGTCTATCCAGGTTTTTTTTTTTTTTTTGCAGTACTGTAACTCAGGGCCTTCACCTTGAGCCACTCCACCAGCCCTATTTTTTGAAGGGTTTTTTAAGATAGGGTCTCGCAGAACTATTTGTCTAGGCTGGCTTCGAACTGTAATCCTCCGGATCTGTGCCTCCTGAGTAGCTGGGATTACAGGTGTGAGCCACCAGCACCCGGCTACCCAGTAGATTTTTATTGAACATCTACTGTGTTACAGGTCTTGGGATTCCATTCTAGCAGACTGGTTCTTACACTATAATAAAGACTTTGCTTAGAGCTTTCTGAGTATCAGTCATTTTTTCCTCCCAGAAAACATGAGATCAGTGGTCTTCTTATTCCCCACTGAACAGGTGAGAAATCTGAAGCTTGGAGTGTTAACTTACTAAAGACCACTTAAGAAGTGCTGAGGAAGAGCCCAGGCTATCTGGGTCACAGGCCTCAGCTTGGCCACCACTAGGCTTACAGTTCTCTGTGGGCAGCAGGTCATAATGCTGAAGGACTGGTATTTTAATATCCCCAACTGAAGTTTAGAGTGGGGACTTCATGGTCTGCATGGGCCTAGTGTGGTTCAGTATTAGTGATCACCTAGAAACAGGGCCCAGCCATGGGGCTCAGCCTTTCACCTGGATGCTCAGGGGCCTCTGCTCCCTCAGCCCAGCATCTCCAAGGCCTGCTAGAGCCTGGCCTTGCCATGGCTAGTGCACTGACCCCAGTTAGGGCCTTAGTGCCAGGGGCCTTTGTCAAGGTACGCTCAGTGCAGGCCAAGGGCCAGTCAGATCCATCCAAGGCCACCCTGGTGGGAAGCAAGGAACAAGGAAAGGACTTAAGGCGGCTGCCCATGGAGCTGTGGATGAAGAAGCAGAGGCCAGGGAAGAAGGGAGAAGGGGCTTATGAGATCATTCCCAACACTTGGGCCCTGAGGATAGCTTGAACCCCCAGCATTGACCATCCCAGGGGACACAGACACTCGCCTGTTCATTCCTGCCCTCCTCAGAGTGCAGCTGGTCTAGGCCATGAGGGCTGCCCCTCGGGACTTAGAGCCGACCTTGGCTTTGGGTTGGCTTCCTGCACACTGAACTCCCCTCTCATTCTCTCCCAGAAGAAAAGAGAAAGATCTCTTTGTGTCAGAGCTTCTTCTGTAGCTTCATTCTCTGCATGATGGGAGAAACCCCATATCTTGCCCCGAAGTTGGGCCCTTGTCTGCTTCCTTGGTGATGCCTCTCTCAGGCCCTGACACCCTAGCCTGGCCCCTTCACCCTCCTTACCTCCCTCCCACTTAGAGCCTGTGCTATGTCCTCTAGCCACTTCTCTCCTCCTAGGCATCCAGAGACACCAGTAAAGTCCTTATGTCACTCCTCTGCCCAAAGTCCCCCACAATCATCACAGTGGCCATCAAGGTCCAATGGGGTCTAACATAGGAGGCCTTGTCCACCACACTCCTCTGTCACTACGGCAAGCACATCCTGACATCCCAGGGCCATTGCACCTGCTGTTTTCTCTGCCTGCGGCTCATTCCCAAATCTACATGCTCACTCCCTCACTTCCTTCAGGTGAAGCCTTCCTCAGCCACCTTAACAAAAACTATAACCCTCCTCCATTCCTTACTTTCCTATAGTATTTACCAACAACCAACATGCTACTTTACTGTTTAAAATATCTGTCACCCCACTAAAAGTTAAGCCCTATCTGAGCAGACCCAGGCAGGCATGACCTTGAGCCAGGGCTGAGGGCTCTCTAGCCCTCCCTGAGGTGCCCATTGCCCTCAAGTCTCCTGCTGCTCCACCATGGTCTAAGCAGAGCAGATGGCTGCGTGGGTGTTCCAGAATGCTCCTGCCCTTACCTGACCTCCTCTCTTCTCATTACCTAAGGACTAGGGGGGAAGGAGTGGCTAGAGTGTGGGTGAGGACAGACGAAGTAGAGGACAGCATGCAGACCTGGACACCTGGCCATCAGAGGCCAGGGATAAGCCCCAGGCACTGTGGTCAGCCCTGGGGCCAGGCCTTACTTGCTTCAGTCCTCACAGACAACAGGTGCTAAGGCCCATGATGTACACCTGTGTCCGACTGCCTTGGGCATACAGCTTCTTGGTCCCATTTTACAACATAGTAGCCTAAGAATCAGAGGTAAGAGGGCTGTCCAAGGTCACAGCCAGCCCAGGCTTCTGCACAGAGCTGGGACATGAAGGTCACTTGTGAGCAGGGAGGAAGGACAGATTGGAACCAGGAAGGCTCGGACCTGCTCAGAGGCTACTTCGCCTTGGCCTCTGGGTCAAATCTGAGCACAGGAGCACCTATGCCTGGGCCCTAGTAGCTGACCTGAGGACACACACCTCCTACACCCTCCTAGCCTATCAGCTGCTGAGTCCCATCACGAGGGCTACAAGCAACCTCTGCCCTTGGCTGTTCCAGGACAGTGCCCTGAGCAGGAAGCAGGCTTGTTAAAGCCAATGCCAAGGCCAGCCACAGAGTTCGCTGGCATGGACATCTGTTCCCATGCCTGCTCAGCTCATGGCCATAGTCCCTTGCCTCCTGAGGTTCAGCGTCATAATAGAGTCTAAATTGCACCTCTCAAAGATGCTTGATGGATAACTGAGAAGCACTGGGAGGCAGAGACCCAAGGCCTTTCCACTCCCCTGTCTGCAGGCCCATCTATCTTGCCCAAGTCTCCCCCTCCGCCCCCTTCCCCAAGGCCAGCCTGGGGCTGAGCCCTGTGGTTCCAGGAACGGAATGGCCAGCCTGGACCGGGGAGGGAGGCAGCAGCCACACTGGACTGGATGAGTCCTTTAATTGCTCAGGCGCCCAGCGACCTTCTTATTCTCTTATTGTGTGTTTGATGGTTTATATGGCCATCAAATTAAACCTGGTAAATCGCCCATCTTTTATGGAATCACTTGTCATCTTTGTGCGGATCCTGCAGACTTCAGCAAGGTATGAGTTATGACCTGCTAGCTTTGTGACTGACAGCAGGATCC